ATACAGATTCCTAAGAGGTGTACATAAATACATAGATATATGTGTACCTATGACATGTGTGTATATATTATATTGCATAAATTATACCCACACACATACACAAAATAAATAGGAGGTGATTTTGACAGGGAGGGCAAAAGCCTCTGGAGGAATGAGGAAAGGTTGCACATAGAAGGTGACCCTTGAGGCATGAAGAATCTGACTGAGCAAGAAGTGATCACAATTAGAACAATTTATACAATGACAAAACCAGTTTTGAAAGCAATGACCAGCCACGTCTCCTCCAGAAGACCTGTAATGAGACATATCATGTCCACTTCTTCACAGAGAAGTCATGGACCCAAGGTGCAGAAGAAGATGTACCTCTTGTACATGACCACTATGTGGACCTGCTTTGCTTGAGTGTGCTCATTTGTTACCAAGGTTTTTCCCCTGTTTTTAAGTTGGGGAGGGGGAAGAGGGAGGATAGTAATAGGGGTTGCCCCCCAAAAATAGAAGAGAAGGAAAGCTAGAAACACCAACAAGCAGAACAGCTTTGAAAGGGACATGTTGGGGGAAAATATGGGGGGGGCAGTGATGGTAATGCCCAAATAGAGAAAAAAGAGGAACTGGAAACATTTGCCTGAACAAATGCTTGAAAAAATGTTTAAAGTGTGTAGAAGATAGTTCAGAAGGAAGCATAGATAAACAGGCTAAAACAGCCCCTGCCTCTAAGGAGCTAACATTATATTGGGGAAAACAGCATACACACACACACACACACACACACACACACGCACACATTCATATACATGAATACACAACGCATGCATATATACAACACACAAATGCATGTAGACACACGTGTGCATACACATATACACAGTTATACATATGTATATGCACACATGTGTAATATGCACACACATGTAGGAAATACACCTAAGGGGGAGATATGTGTAAATGTGCATGCACACACACACACACACACACACACACATGAAGAAACCCAAAAGATACAAGGTGATTTTGACAGGGACAGCATCAGCCTCTGGAGGGGCTAGGAAAGGCCACACGTAGAAGGTGACCCTTGAGGCATGAAGACTTTGAATGACTGACCAAGAGGGCTGCCTGGATGGAGGCAGGCAGCCAATTTCGCACATACTTGTTCCTGCCGCCTGCCTAAGTGTGGGCGCTGGCTTTTCTGGCATACTCTCTTTTTTTCCTCTTATCTTTGGAACTCTGGTTGACCTTTTGTGTCGTTCTGGGGTGGTTGCAGTCACTTTTTGAAGTCATTTGATTTTCTCATTGGATCTCTTGATTATCCAATGGCTAGCACAGTGCCAGGTATGTGGTTGGTACTTAATAAATGCTTCTTGATTAATTGACTGAACGTGGCCACATGCTTCTTCTTCTGTGGTAGGCTGAGCCTCTTGGCAACAACCATGTGAGATATAGATAGTGCAAGTATTATTATCTCTATATCACAAATGAGTAAACTGGGGCTCTGAGAGGCAGAATGCCCTGCCTACAAGCAAATGGAAAGGACTTGTCTACTGCAGGATTCAAACCCAGGTCTCCTTCTTCAGGTCCACCACTCCATCCATTTGGCTACCCACCCCCCAGTGGACTGACACATAATTCTTGTTTTATTACTTGACTATGATTATTCGTCCAGGGTGGAATTCAGGGCTGCTTTCATGGACCTGTGCTGAGGGACATGGAAGTCTAAGCCTGACAAAGAGGATTCTAAACTCCAGTAATTAACACAGACAGCAAGTGCTTAATGAACGTTTGTTGAATTATACTGAATTGGCCAATCATAATGTTTTAGATATTTGGAAAACACAAGTTGATCCAATAGGTGGGGCCCATTCCATGTTGCTAGGTAAAAACGAAACCTAGCCACGCAGATGGAGACAGTAATTCTAGCAACACGGACATTTTTACAGCGTTGCATGCATTTCAAAGGACTTTCGCATCTCCAGCCATCATAAAGCTCTGCAAAGCTTGGTGGAAGAGCCCTCTGCACGTGGTGAGGATGGCACAGCAGAGTAAATATATCAACATTTCCCAAATTACTGTGTGGCTTCATGGAAATAGAAATCAAAATACCAATGGGTTATTCTTGTTTGTTTTTGTTTTTAGGCAATTGGGGTTAAGTGACTTGCCCAGGGTCACACAACTAGTAAGTGCCACATGTTTGGTGTGAGGCCGGATTTGAACTCAGGTCCTCCTGACTTCAGGACCAGTGCTCTATCCATTGCGCCACCTAGCTGCCCCCCCATGGGTTATTCTATAGAGCTAAATAAACTAAGAAGAGGTGGTGTTGTAGATATGGTGGTGGACTTTGAGTTGGGAAGACTCAAGTTCAAATCCTACCTTAGACAGTTCCTGAAGTATGACTTGGCCAAGTCACTTACCTCTCTCAGCCTCCATGTCCTCAACTGGGTTGTTATAAGGAATGAATGAGATAATATCTGTAAAAGTAGTTCCTTAAAGCACCATATAAACTGTCATCTATTATTGCATGGAGAAAATCAAAGGGAACTTTGCTTAAGAAGTTAAGGGAGGACAATGTACTCTGTCAGACTTTAAAATATGCTACAAAGCAGTAATTACCAAAACTAAAACTAGTTGAGAAGCAGAAAAGCAGATAAATGGAACAAAGGAGCAATTGTAAAAATTTTAACATCTTTTGTGTTCATGTATGTCCAACAATGAAAACAACAAAATAAAACAAAAAGAAAAGCGATATATTGGAAAACTTTCTAACCCTAATGCTCAGCACAGAGCCTAGTGCCTACTAATTGCTAATTAAATGCTTGTTATTTGATAATTGACAAAAGTGTGACATCCAGAATCTCTATGGAATTGATACACATTTATAAGAGACTCTGGCAGTCTCTAAAGGGTAAAGGATACGAATACGCAATGTACAAAAGATGGAACACAAATTATATCTAATAGCCTGAAAATTATTTGAGCCTTCTAATAATTAAATACAAATTAAACCCTCATACCCATCAAGTTAGTAAAACTAAGAGGGACAAAACAGATGCACTCATACATTATTGGTGGAATTGTAAATCGGTGTAATATTTTGCAGAGTATTCTGGCAACAACTGCAAAATCAATCATATTCTCTGACCCCATGATCCCATTTCTGGAAAGCAATTAAAAGAAAATAAGACTGAACTGAACAAAAGCTATTTCATTTGGGGCAGTGAAAAAGTTGGAAACAACACATCCAATAGTTATGAAAAAGGCTGAACTAATTGTGGCCATGTAATAAGATATCTATGACAGATGAGGAATATACAGAAATATGGAAAGATTATTTAAATAAGGCAAATTGAAGGAAGATCTAGAAGAACAACCCACATACACTGATTATATTGGCAGATGTAAAGGGACAAGAAGATTGGAAGGAGACAAAATTGGATAAATTGTTAAAAATATTTTTATTATAAATGGTTTTGACCATATGGTTATATTAGGAACTTTAAGAGATTTTCTTCTTTGTTTTGTTGAGATTAAATTTTAAATATTTCCTTCTATCTCTACTCCAACTGTAGCAAGCCCTACCTACTAGGTTTTATAATAGCCTAACTTTGACCGAGTGCCATTGAATCAGATTAATTATTTTTAGTCTTCAGGAGATATGGGTGGAAGTTATTGGAGCAGATTTTGGGGTGAAGTGACACAGAGGATAAAGCACTGGGCCTGGAGTCAGGAAGACCTGAGTTCAAATCTGACCTTAGACACTGGCTGTGCGACCCTAGGCAAATCACTTATTCCCTCTTGTAAAATGGGGATAATTAATACTGATAATAATAGGCATTTATATAGTACTTACTAAGTGGCACTGTGCTAAGCTAATATTTAAAAATATTATCTCATTTGACAAATATTTCATTAATAACAACACCTATTTTGCAACATTGTTGTGAGAATCAAATGAGACACGTGAAGCACTTGGCATAGTAGGTGCTATAGAAATGCTTATTCCCCTTTCCTTCCCTTTCCTGTAAGGAAAGAGTTGCTAATAATAATTAATTAATAATAATTAGACCTATCCACAAGTAGAATGGGCTAACTCGACATTTGGGGCTTTGCTGGCTGCCTGTTGATTGTAGTGTAGAGGGAATTCTTGCGCAGGTATGGGTTGGCCAGGATAGGTTCGGATTCCTACCAACACTGAGACTGTGATTCTGTGGGTAGCCTGGGGCGCAGAATCAATCCCTACTGGGTGGAAACACCTTTTGTGTATGACCTATTGAATCAAAACACAAAGCCCAAAATTTCTTAAAATATCGTCTGGTAAAGGGATGACAAGTTTCTTTCTCAATCTTCCCTTCCCGACCTCCCTCCCCTAAATATATGGAATAATATACTTATCAAAATCAGGAAAATTTTGCTACCTCAGGGCACTCATTGTGTTTGGAGTATTGGATTTTAAACTGAACCACCAAGCCAAGGAAAATGTCTCAAATCCAGGAGTACTGGTAGTGGGGAAACTGCCCATAAGCCCCAAGAAACCACTACTTGTGTTCTCATCTTCCAAAAAAATGTACAGATGTGCACTATAAACAACACAGTAGAAAGCATGGTTTAGTAGAACAATCAGTGGTTTAGGAATTAGGACTCCCTCAATTACTTTGTGTGTATTATGTATGCGGTTATTGTCATATTGTCTCCCCCAGTAGAACGGGATTGCTTCATTTTGTCTTCGTATCCCCAGTGCCCAGGACAGCGCCTGGAATTTAGTGCTGCTTGACCCAGGGCAGGTAAGTCACCTATCCTCTCTGGGTCTCAGTTTCTTCATCTGTAAAATGAGTAGGGGTTAGATGAGATGATTTCTAGGCTCTTTCCCAGCACTAACATTTAGGAATACAAGTTAATGAGTCTTTCTGAACGTAGAACCCATGGCTAGGAATATAGTATGCATTGGAATCTTTCTAATGAAAGAATGAACTTTGGCATTTCCCAAAAGATTGAAAAAATATAATTGACTAGAATTGACTTCAAAGATTTAATAACTCTTCCTGGGGAAACAGGGAGATACAGCTTTTTGTAAAAATTATATGAAAAAATTCAAACTTGTGGTAATGTAAAGGCTGAGGACATTTACATGTCCATGAATTTTACATGCATTCATTATCACCTCTAACATGTCCAGAGCTCAGAGATTTCATCCCAAAGCATAAATATTTAAATTGCACAATTGTTTTTAAGGTTCTATTTGACATACAGGATTTCCAGGCAAACACCAGTTGGATAGAAAGTAACACATCTGGATTGACAGAGTGGCACTGATGACATAATAGCATTAATAAGCAAGTGAGAGAGTTAACTGACTTTATCAGACCAATACCTATTTGTATGAAAGGCTGAGTTTCTTTGGCTCTTTTTGCATTCACGTTAGTTGACTGCCTAGCTAAGATTAAATTTACACACCACACATCAATTTTTCAATAAAGTCTTACTGTGTCTATAGTGTCTTGCAAATTGACTTAGTTCTTAATCCATAGCAAATTGGCCACTGGTAGAAATATACAGTATATACACATGGAGATTATAAAAATACATTTTATTTATATCTGATTTTTTTAAATAACAAAAAACACTAACATTTTGAAAAATCAACCAGTTTACCAAAAGGTTCCTTGTTATTCTATGTGGTCTGACCAAGACAGATATTTGAAGATTCTACCACCCATTCATTATCTCTGGTATTATCTGGGATGGGCTCTTTGTCTTTGAAACAAAAAAAATTGCTCAGTTTTAAAAGACTGTGTGTGCTTTGTTAGGCTGAACCTTCCTTTCCTGTTCTTCTCAGATTTTAGACATGGCCCCCAAGCTAACCCAACTTTAACTTTTCATCTTGGTTAAAGACCAAAGAAACTCATGTGGAGAATGAGGTGATCAGATCAGATAGAGAACATATATATGGCTGTAGCTGAATGGATTACAGGGTGAAGGGAGGCCATTAGCACAGAATTCAACAGATGTCAAGTACATCCATCCCCAACGCTGGGGACCTCTGCTACTGAAGCTGCTTTCTCAATGAAGGAACCCAGAGTATTGCCCATGGTCAAGATGTTACTTTATTTGATTTGACTTGGGGAAAAAGAATTCTGGACATGTGTCCCCTACAATGAGCTGAAGAGGTCAGATTCCCTACCAGTGGTGAAAGAGGATTATCAGCATTAAGCACACCATGGTCAGCAGTCTCTAATTTTAGTAAACACCAGCCCCCTCCCCCCAACTCCCTGCTTCCACGGAACGAGATGATTTGGTTAAATTCATACGCTTGTGTTCATTGATTTACATTGGACCATAAGTCAACAGGTTGCCCATATTCCAAAGTTTCTACAAACATCGGCTGGGAATTTGAAAGTCTGCAGATTCACATATCCCATTTTGAACAGACATTAATCACAGTTTTATTTCGAGACACTTGGCAGAATTTACTACACAGCATTGTTCAAGAGAGCTGGAAAGCTTTATGATAAACAGAGGTTTCCTTGTGAAAGTAGATGTACCTATTATTCCAGGAGAGAGAGAGAAAGAGAAACAGAAAGAGATGGTTGGTTCTCAGGCTACTTTCAAATGTAGGGCAAAGAAAACAGACTCAAATAACCATTTTTCATTTGCAGAATTCCCAAAAGCACTTTGCAGCAATTCTCTCTTCTTTTTTTTGTTAGGTCTTCAGCACAACTCACAATTCATTCTATTCTCCAAAGGCCAACACTTTTTCAGATGCTCAACAGGGGCCTTTAAGAATTTGGCAAACGCCAATTACGCGGCCACAATCAGTCTCCTCTCCCATCTTCTCTGCTTTCGGGCCATTGTACGGTTAATGAGAAACCAAGTTGGGACTATTTACAAGGGCGATTGTTTGGGGAGAACCAGAAACATAAATTTCACTTGGCCTTGAGCATGAGCTTGAAATAAAAAGGGTTGAAGTTACTTGATTGGTTTCAGTTTCCCTTATCCCAAGTTCAGAGATGATTTTATTTTATTTTATTTTTTCCATTTAAATTTTGCTGTTGTTCCAATGAGAAAGAATGCAGTCTGGTGCTCATCCTCACCTTTTTATCACAGAAATACAGATTGAGCATGCAGAGGTCATGGTAGTCAGGTCTGGATTTTGTCCTCTCTCTGGTTACTTATGAAATATGGCATTGAAGGGCAATCTATCAAATAGTATCTCTCATGCCTAAGGCTTTTCAGGACAGACAATCATATTCCATGGATTTAATGTATCAGCATATCAAACACACAGTTGCCAGGCAGGACAACCTTGACTGGCCAGCCTAATAGACAGGTCAAGAGCTTTGCTATTTAAGGAGTTGCTCCACTTAGCAGAAACCCCAGAGTTCAACTTTCCAGGCAGTGATGGGTCAGACAGAAATCCACCCTCTCTTCCAAGTCCCAACAAACAAACCAAAGACACATTTCCTTGTCTCTTTGCTGCCTTCACGGTTTGGAGTTCAATGGCTACAAGAGTGGAGAACTCCTAAGTGTTAGACCTGGAATTCAAACATGTCTGTTTGTTTCTTGGCCAGCTTAGCAACCTCTTCCCGGATAGCCTTCACCAGGGCTGCTGTGGAAATGTTGGTCAGCGGAGCATCAGAAGTATCGTTCTCTGCCAGGCTCTGCTGAGACGCTGCTGTGGAGGCCATGGGGGCCTGTTCCAGACTTGGGTGCATGTTGGTGGGCTGGCTGTACTGCCGGGGGAGTCTTGAGGGGGATGTCTGTTGGTAGCGTGACCGGGGATATGCCTCTATGTAACCTGGGAGTGGAACCTAGATGAGAGAGCAGGTTAAGACGTTACCAAGGTGCATTTTTATACCCAGAGGAATCTAAATGAATAGACATGATCTGGAAATAGGTTGTTTGAGTTAAATAGATTTCTCAATTATTTTAGATTGAGCTTGTGTGGACAATATTTGTAAAATGTAGTCTCTTGTTACAATAAAAATGAGCATAAGTCACTCCATTTGCTTTTATCCACTTTGTTTTGTGAAGCTAAGTTTCAGCTGCTTGTAAGTCACCCGATTTTAAGTCACAAGGTTACTCCTCCCCACCAAAGGTCACCCTACTTAAGGAATGTCACAAAACTAATCTCTCTCCCTCTCACCTCAGTATCTCCAGACCCCACCTTCCATAATGAGAAACCTGATGTCATAATCCCTATGATCCTGTTTTTCCTGTTTTTCTCTTCCTCCAAATTGTGTATTAACTATGAGAAACCAAGCTTCTAGGTCTTTGGCTATGGAGAGCCTTGGACCTGGTTTGTTTTGCAACTGCATGCATTGCCAAATATATCACTGCCTTGGATGTAATTAATTACTCAGTTTCTTTATACCATTGTAACACTTTGCAAGTCCCACGGTTCTGAATTCAATGGTTCCAAGAGTCTGCCGATTTCCCTGCCTTAGTAAGTATAAAGAGTGTAAATGGTAAATGTAAAAGGTAAATGAAATTCAATTCAATTAGGCAAAATTCATTAAACAGTTGATGTGCACTCAGCACTATGTGAGGGTAGGATAGGGAAGAAGAAAGATATAACAACTCAAATGTCTATCTGATTGAGGTAGTGAAAGTATTATTCTGTGAGTTTCATGTTTTACGGCTCAGAGTAGTTAAATGCTCATTTGACTATGCACTTAGTGACAAAGCTCCAAGTCTAGTCCTCTTTCTTACAGCCCCAGACTAATGACTTCATGAACCCCGTGACATGAGTTGGAAGTTAGGAAGTAAGTGAAGGGTTTTCCCCATTTTTGTAGTAAATAGCCTGAGACCATGACCGGAGACGGATACCTGGATGGTCCAGTGATTTAATTATAAAAGAGAGCTTCTTTAGTGTTCCTGAGACTCAGTCTTCTAATTTGTCATAAACCAGCTGAGTCCTTAGAAATATCCCACCTCCATGCCTTTGCTCACAGTTCTTCCCTCCACCTGGAATGCTCTTCCCCTCTAGCTCACTATCAAGATTTTCCAGTAGAGGCTGGACAAGCAAATCTTTTCACCTTGGTCTGCCTCAACTTCCTCATCTGTAAAGTGAGCACAATAATAACACCTACCTCCCAGGATTGTTGTGAAGATCAAATGAGATAACCCAATCCTTAAAGTCCTATCTTAATGTTAGCTGTTATCATTAGTATTATTTGATATTCTAAGGTTTGTGGTTTTTTGGACAGTTAAACACATTTCATTGATGCCTATTGTATTTGCATCCCAGTCATTTGTGAAGGAAAAACAAAGCAAAGCGTGCAGTTCCAGACTGATCCCTTCCTTGTAACAACAATTCAAAGAACCAATTAGGGGCAGCTAGGTGGTGCAGTGGATAGAGCAGCGGCTCTGGAGTCAGGAGGACCTGAGTTCAAATCCGGCTTCAGACACTTGATACTTACTAGCTATGTGACCCTGGGCAAATCACTTAACCCCAACTGTCTCACCTCCCCCCCCCCAAAAAAAGAGAGAACCAATTAAGCAAAAACATCCAATAGAGTGACCATATGGGAAGATGTCTACACTAGTCCATTGCATCCTGCTTCTCTCCTGTCTTTCTGTCATGAAGGAGTGTTGTGAGTTGATCTTTGGGACCTTTGGTAGTTTTTCAATTATTCTGAATTTGGTCTACCTGTAGTGATCTTTTCATGTACAATGTAGTCACGGACACCTTATATGACAGTGGCGCTTCTGTACAGAGGAGGCTAAAGCCTCCTCTCTTCCCCCCAAATGACTTTCTATTTACTTTATACATAGCCTATATTTGTATGTTTGTGTACATGTTGTTTTCTCTCAGTAGAACGTAAGCTCCTTGAGGGCAGGGACTGTTTCATTCTTGTTTTCATTATCTTCAGTCTTTTTTTTGGGGGGGGTCCAGATATGTGGTTTCATGGGTTCAAGGAGCTGCCTAGAAGGGAAAATCCTACCCATGTAGATCAGCTACTGCAACTTGTATTCTTAGAGAAAATGCCTGGGGCCAGTGAGATGACCTGCCCAGGGTCATACAGCCAGCAGGTGTCAGAAGTGCTTCTTGAACCCAGGTCACCCTGATTCTGAGTCCAGTTCTCTATCCACTGTGCCACAGTGTCTCTTTCCTGGTACATAGTAGGTATTTAATACTTGCTAACTTGAATGGAATTGAATGTCTCATCTCTTCAATGTTGCGAGGACAGAAGAAAGTGCTTTATTTTTCTCTGTGGTTCCCTCAGCGCATACAGCAGATGCTCAAAAAGGCATGTCGAATCCAACTAAAACAGCTGGTTGTTGGCTGCCACGTAGACCAAATATCCAGATGATGGCCTGAGTTGGTCACTGGATACTTGGATGTATAGATACAACCATAGTGTCTAATAAATCTTCAGCTGTGATTTGTCCTCATTTACTTTTTTTTTTTAAATACTACACACAGTAGCTTAGACAGAAAATTAAAAAAAAAAACTTGTTACAAGCTACCCTGCTAATAGGCACTGTTCACTAGGTAATTGGATGTGGTAATTGTGCTCCAGGAAAGAGCCTTCTTAAACTAGAATAATCATCCTCCACTTAATTAAAAACAATGAAAAAGGACACTGGCTCATTTTCAGCTGGAGAAGGACAGACCTAGACTGGTGGATTCAGCCAATCAAAAAGATGAAGCTGGAGCTTTCCACAGGGTCTGGCTCTCAACACAAAAGTTTGCTATTACTATTGAGCAAAGGGCATCTGCATGCATTTCTCATGCCACCTGGGACCCTCACAAATAAATATAAATGCGTGCCATGATTGTTATCAACCAACCAATCAATAAACAGTGGGCATCTGCTATGTACAGGGACTGTGCTAGGCACTGGGGACAGAAAAGAGAAGGAGGGCAGCCTCTCTACTCGTGAGGAGGGAGTTTACATTGTGATGGTAAAGTACTTCATAAATCTTAAAACGCCAGATCAATGTGAGCCAGTATTGCTGCTGTTGTTTTACACAGTAAAGGCTTATTTTGCAGAGATATGAAGGTTGGATTGGACTGGGGAGGAGGAGGTGGAGCGTTCACTCTGATGGAGACTGGAACAGCTTGGGCAGGGGGTCATGAAGGTCTAAGCTAGGCTAGGTACTCCAGGAGAAGAGAGCAGGGACTAGGTAGGACAGATGGTGTGGGATGGGAATGGACAGGTCTTGGCAGACGAGCAGGTATAATAATAATAACAATAACAATAATCATAGCTAGCATTTATACAGTGTTTTACGGTTAGCCAAGTGCTTTAGATAACATTCTCACAACAACCCTTCCAGTGATGTAGGTGCTATTATCATCCCTGTGTAACCTTATTGAGAAACTAGATGGCCCTATGGATAGAGTGCCAGATCTGGAGTCAGGAAGACCTGAGTTCAAACCCAGCCCCTGACACTTACTAGCTGTGTGACTCTGGGCAAGCCATTTAACCTTGGTGTGCTTCAGTTTCCTCATCTGTAAAATGGGGATAATAATAGCACCACTTCGTAGGGTTGTTGCAAAGGTCAAATGAAATAATAATTGTAAAGCTCTTAGCACCGTGCCTGGCACATGGTAAATGCTATATAAATGTGAGGGATTATTATTAATTACTATTTCATAGATAAGACAACAGATGATATAAGGGAAGTGGGGGAAAGGGGAGAATCAAAGACTGATCCTTAGGTTTCCACCATGGGAGAGGGTGAATGGTGGTACCATGGACAGAAGCAGGGATGTCAGGAAAAGGAGGAGAAATAGATTTAGGAGAAAGAGAAGTTCCATTTCAGGAAAATGAGGTCAACTAGCAACAGTGTCTGCAGCAATGGGCAGCACTGATAGCAGAGGAAGGGTTAGTTCCCTTCGCCCTAGGAAAAACGCTTCTCAGAGTCCTTGGTCTGAGTATGACAGCAGCAGCCCCAGACCCCTACTCTTGACCGACTTTCCTTCCTATCTCATTGAATTGCTACATTGGCCTTTGATTTTAACTTTCATCCCCATCTCTGGATCACAGACTCACAGATTTTCAGAGTTGTTCGGAAACTAGTCTAACCCATGTAAGAAAATGAATTCCCCCTGTAACATGTCTGATTGTTCACTCAGCATATAAAGGTCTCTAGTGAAATGGACCCCATTCCTGTCAGTTCTACTGGTCAGGAAGTCAGGATGCTATGGGAGTCCTGCATTCTCACCCAACAAGTTGCAAAGATATGTCCTTTTGCCACTGGCCTTTTTGGATTAACCCATTTTGGCTGACTCACTGTTGACCTTTTAAGGACAGAGAAGGATCCTTGCCCCTTCCCTGGCCCAAAGCTGGTGCTGGTCCTAGGGGGCTGAGCACTCAGATGTCTCAGCTAGAACTCTTGGGATTCAGCATCATGCTATATGTTCCACTGGACAGAATGGGATGGTGGTTATTATAAGAGTTATTTTCCCACAAGTTCAGTGGAAAGAGCTCTGGACTTGAAATCAAAAGATTTGGGTTTGAATCCTGGCTGTACAACTCACCAGTTGTATGACCTTGGGCAAACTGCTTAAACTTCCTAGGACTCAGCCTTCATCATCCTTCAAATACAGGTAATCATGCCTGCCATTTAGATGTCACTGACTTGAAACATTTATTAAGTACCTACCGTGTGCCACGAATTGTGCTAAAAGATACAAAAAGAGACAATAGATAGTCCCTGCCCTCAAGGAACTCACAATCTAATGAGAGGAGACAACATGCAAGCAAATATATACAAAGCAAGCTATATACAAGATAAATAGGAAATAATAAACACAAATAAAAGATGGGTCACATCTCATGAGGAGGCCCTGATCTGAGGCATTAAAAAGCCATATCAGAATACAAGTCTTAGACTGAAGACACCAAGTACAGCAAAGAGAATAGAGAAGTCAGCAAGAGAAATTGCTTATACACAGAAGAAAGAGCACAGAAGCTTATGGTGTTGAGATGCTGATAGAAGCTGAGTCCAGTAGACAGCTCTGCTGTTGATGTGGGGAGCTGATCTGATTGAAAGAATGTTCTACTGTTTAGAAGGGTTGATTGGAAGAAAGGAGAATTCTCTGCTATAGGTGAAGAACTGGCAGGGGGGAAAGACCACCAGCTCTCTAGTGCTGTTCACAGCTTGAGAAAGGGGAAACTCCTCAAAAGCTTGCCCATGTTTCCTTCTGCTTTAATCTACAGCTTGAGATGGAAAACCCCTCAAAGCTAACAAAGAGCAAGATCAGAATAGCTTTACTAACCCCAGGATTAAGGGGAACTGCTTTTCATTGAAAATACTTAGACAAGGGAGCAGACCTGGGAAGCTCTACAAAGTCCAGGTTTAAGGCCAATATTAGATAAAAGAGGTGAATATGGCTTAAGTAGTCCAAGAGTAGCGATGAAAGAGGCTTTGTCCAAAAAGTAATTTGTGGTGAAGGCTGTTCTCTGAAGAGACCACAGACATTTAGGTATGCAGACCAGAGTAATGAGGCACTCAAGGTATATGAGTTTCCTTATTCATGTGCCTTACTTCTAAGTTTTTGTAAGTTTATGCCCACTCTCCACCCAAGATACTACATGTATTGGTGAAGGTGTGATCCAGGTATATGGTTGTACTGTTATATTTTGATCATGCCTTACTTTTGCCTTTCATTTAATACATATTGTGATTAATTTTTGCTTTTGCCTTTTCACTTAGTATATGTTAAGAGTTAATGGCATCTTTTAGAGGGGGAAAAGAGTAAGTGGTATCTCTGTGATGGACGAGTGTAAATGGGAAGCACACCAGTGGGGGCTCACAAGTTTTAGTAATGAGTGCAGACATGGAAATGAAGTTTACTTCTAGGATCCTGAGAATGGATTGTATCAACAAGGCATCCATGACAATCCTCCCCCCAACACACACACTAGAAAGACAACCTTACCCCCAAGACACAACAGTGTAAAGGCCTGTGGATAAGTGAGTTAACCCAAAGAGAGACAAGGATATAAATATGATGTTAAATACCATACTCTATGGGCTACATATTTGTCTTATGTATACTTCTATACATATGTGTTGTCTCTCTCATTAGAATGTAAGCTGCTTTAGTCAGAGATACCAGGGACCACTTGTATGAACTCAGACAGAGTGAAATGAGGAGAATCAGGAGAACAATTTATACAACAACAACAACATTGTAAACACAAACAACTTTGAGAGACTTAGGTCCAATGACCAATCACAATTCCAGAGGACAAATGATAAAGTACGCCACCCACCACTTGAGAAAGTGGACTCAGAATGCGGACTGAGATATATATGTATGCATGTATGCATATATATATGTTGACATGTGTATGTACATACACACATATTAAAATATATGTGTATATTTGTTTTGCTTGAATACACATTTGTCACAGAGGTTTTTGGTTTTTTTGCTTTCTCACTGGACAGGGCAATGGGGGAGAAAGAAGGAGAATTTTCATTTGAAAAAAATAATTCATTTTTAAAAAAGAATAGGGGCAGGTAGGTGGCACAGCGGATAGAGCTCTGGCCTTGGAGTCAGGGGATTTCAAATCCAGCCTCAGACACTTGACATTAGCTGTGTGACCCTGGGCAAGTCACTTAACCCCATTTCCTAGCCAAAAAAAAAAAAGACCATAAACTCCTTGAAAGAGAGATTGTTTCATTCTTTGTACTAGTATCCCTGGTCGCCAAGACAGTGTCTGGCGCATAGCAGATATTCAATAATTATTGGCTGATTGACTAACCCAGTTAAGTAAACTAGATTCCTGCCCTTAGAAAATAGATAATAACAGACTGGCTAGGTCTGAGCAGGACATGTATAGAAGGCCCACAGATAGACAACTGAGCACCAAACTAGTAAAATCCACGAGCATAAAACTTGCCGAGAGGACAACGGAGGACTCACAGTGCACAGATGATTTTGGCCTACCGCCAACAACAGTATTGGAGGTCTGATTTATCTGGTGATCTCAACCATGTAGGATGTAGTTGAGATCCAGGAGGTATATTTAAAAAGCCTCTGAGTGGTAAAATAATGCAAAGCTTATGTATTTTACTCATAGGGTAGGTCCTCTGGTCCTCACTCAGTGCCCATTTACTGTTACTTTAGGAACAAATTTAATAAGTTTGCTTAGAAACGGGGCACGTAAAGGAATGGTGCACTGAGAACTATAATAAGTAACTGCTAATAGGAAGAAGAGAGCAAAATGATGAGAAAAAGACATAAGAACACAAAAAAGAGTAGCAGTCTATAAACTTTGGCATAGGGCCAAATTGCTCTATGTACCTCTATAGGCCCCAAGGGCATTACTGCATAGCCCAGGAGAGTTATTGAAGTTCAATTTTCTCCTCCTCCTTCTCCTCTTTGTCCTCCTCCTCCCTCTTCCTCCCTTCTCCTTCATCTCCTTCATCATCATCATCATCACTTACATTAATCTAGTGTTTTCTAAGGTTTCCAAAACATTTTACATCTCATTTGCTATTATTTCACTTACGATTATTTATGCTATATTTTATATGTTTATTTTATTTGATCCTTACAAACCCCCCTGGTACTATTATCATACTATAATTCTACCATAATATAGTATCATATGAGGAAGCTAGGTAGATTGGTCACTGTACTTGGAATTAGGAAAATCTGAGTTCAAATTCAGCCTCAGCCACTTACTATTAATCTGCCTCAGTTTTCTACCTGTAAAATGGGGCTGATAATAGCCCCTAAATCCCAAGGATGTTAAGGAAATAAATAAGACTATATTTATAAAATGCCATATAAATGTGAACTACTACTACCACCACCACCACTATCACTGCTACTATTACCACTATTACTACCATGACCACTACCACCACCACCACTACTACCACTAATCCTATTACTAATACTATTATATCTCATTTAACAGAGAAAGAGATTGAGGCTTAGAGAGATTACATGATTTATTTGTGCAAGGTCACAAGGCAAATACCAGGAGTCACATGCTTGACATTTCATCCCTCTGCTTTATCTCTCCAAGAGTACGGAGCAGAAACTGATGAAGTTTTGTGACAGACAAGAGGAAGTTCTTACCGAATCTGCCCATTGCCCCGGTAACTCGTTCTCTCCTGCATAGGACATCCAAGCCTGGTTCCGGTAGGACGAGGGTGGTGTGGGGATGAAGTAGCCTGTGAATCCAGGTCTGTTTGCAGCTGGAATGGCAAACACAGCTGGAACCGTGCTTCCTGCCACAGAGCAGAGGAATTAGGGGTGGACCATCTAGAAATTCCATTATTTTCACAAATAATAACATAACAGGGGTGACCTTGCCTTTGGGCACCACCTGCTTCTGAAAAGCTTAGGTCAACTGGCAATTTGTCATTAAAAATGATTATAAACTTAATACTCTCAGCTAAGACAAACAGAATGTAGAACAAAACTATAAAATCTAAATTATCTATATTTTTATTAAAAGAAAAGGAAAACATAGACATTTATAAAATAAAAAAGAGGTAGCAGGGGGTAGTGGTTAGAGAGTTGGCCTAGGAGTTAGGAAGACCTGGATTCGAGGGTTGCCTCTGTCATGTATTGGCTGTGTCACTTAACTCCTACATATCCCAGATAACTTTCTAAGACTATATATAAATTGTAAAGGAGGTGCTGATCTTTAATGGTGGAGTTCTCTACACTAGAGAAGTCTCAGTTCTTATCAAAACACCCCACCACAAAATAACAATAACAATTTGCTCTCTCTCTCTCTGGCTACTTCTGACCTCTTTTCTGCATTTTTACTTATTATTATATGTTATTATTGTGTTTATTTCTTTAGATAGTCACATGTATGTTGTACTTCATGGGATCATGGGATCTGAAGTTGAAGGGACCACTGAGGCCAGAGCCCGGGCTCCCTGACCTCTAGTGTAACCCCATCATTTGACAGAGCAGGTTAAAGAGTCCCAGAGAAGGGAGTGATTTGCTCAAGGTCACATAACTAGTAAGTAAACAGAGCCAGAATTTCAACCCACCCATCCATTGATGCAGAACCCAACATGCTACATCACACCACTCTTCCTTTGTCTACAGTTCTCTCTCTGCCATCACTTTGTATAAATCTTCCCACATTGTTTTGTATTCTTCATACTTTGCATCTGGCCATTGGATTATAGGATTTGTGACTGGAAAGGGACCTTAAGAGACCATTTTGTCCAACCTCCTTTTACAGCTGAGGCCTCCTTCTGCTGCATTGAGACACTACCATTTATTCAGCTGCTCTTCAATGGTTGGACATGCAAATTGTTACCAGTTCTCCTTGATCAAGTGAGTGGAAGTATTTTTTGCACCAACAGGCTTTTTCTCCTTCCCAGCATAATAACATTTGTACGGTACCGTACAAGGAGTGGAGAACCTGTGGCCTCAAGGCCACGTGTGGTCCTCTAGATCCTGAAGTGCGGCCCTTTGACTGAATCCAAACTTCACAGGACAAACCCCCTTCATAAAAGGGTTTGTTCTGTAAAACTTGGACTCAGTCAAAAGGCCACACCCAAGGACCTAGAAGGCCACATGTGGCCTCGAGGCTGCAGATTCCCTACCCTTGGAGTCTTACAGGGCACATAGTGAGATCATCGGATTAAGAGCTATGGTCAGTTTCATAACTCTTATGTGTGCCCAGCGTCATTTAGGGTTACTATCAATCTGAGTTTTCTCTTCAAAAACTATTCCATTCATGCCCTTGGTAGGAATTTCTGTTGCAGAATGAATATTGCTCATTAATTTGTATCAGTTCCTTAGAAATGTAATAAGGATTATATGATGACAGCAAGTGCTTTACAAATATTTTCTTATTTGATCCTCACCCCAACCCTGGGAGGCAGGTGATAGTATCATTCCCACTTTACAGAGGAAGAAATTGAGGCAGAGATTAAGTGACTTGCCCAGCTAATAATAAAACTGAATTTGAACTCTGGTCTTCTCAACTCCAGGCCCAGCTCTCTATCCACCGTGCCACCCAGCAGTTCTAAATTTGGTAGTTACATTTTTATTCATATATTGTGTCCTAATGCTTAGAATGTAAGCGCCTTGAGGGTATCCCCATTGCCTGGTACACAGCAAATGCCTAATAAATGCTTATTGGTTGATTATCGGACACATTTACCACTGAGAGTTCCATAGGATGGGAGAAGCAAGCATTTATTATCTATTAAATAACCCCACATTTTAATAAGCACCTACTATGTGCCGGGCATGGCACTAAATACTTTGCAAATATTATTGCAAATAATATATTATCTAGCACTCAGCAGTGCCTGACACATAGTAGGTGCTAACCACTGTTTATTGACTGATTATCTTATTTAATGGAAGGATTGGTTATGATCTCCATGGCCGGAGGAAGCATCCATTTTGAGACGATCACAAATCCTAGATCATAGAGAGTTACCACAAAGAACTTTCTCCTTAATCTATGCCTTTAAACAAAAAATTGAAAACTGCTTTTTAATCTTATAAAGTTCTTTTATTAATTAAATCTACCAGTTTTGTCTCCAGTTATTTCTTTTATTGGTTCAATAGGTAAATTTTCTGTCCTTTCCTTAACTGGGATAAATGTATTATTTATTTCCTTTTCTGTCTATGGAAGTTTAAAGTTTAAACTCAAAGTCACAGAAGTAAAAGCGTCAGAGAAAGGATTTGAACAGAGGTCAAAGTTTGAATTTTTTTAAAAAAAATTTGATTTCAATTAAACATTGTTTTCAAATATCGATCCAATTAAGTTAATGTAGCATATGAGGTAAGACATGGATTTAAACATATTTTTGCCATACTATTAACAAATTCTATCACTAATCTATATTGAATAGTGCTGGTTTTTTTTTTTTAATGAAAAGGCTGAACTCTTCTATGGTCTATGCCCTTTCCTTAGGTTTTTTGTATTCTGGTCTGGTGGTCTGTTTTAAATATTTTGTTAAATACCAGATGTTTTTAGAATGACTGATTTGTGAAACGTTTTAACATCTGGCAGGGTCATCAATTAAAAAAAACCAATTCATTCTGCTGATATTCTTGCCCATATATTTTTCATTTAAAAAAAATTAGGTTTATTGGTATCTCTCACTTTTATATCAGTTATTCCTGGACTAAGCCCCCCCCCTTCATTTTATATATATATATATATATATATATATATACATATATATATATATAAAAGCACATATATGTGAATATATTAAGCTTCTATATAAACTATACAAACTTCAGAACTATATATATAATACAGTCAAAACTAATATATGTAAACTACATAAACTTCAAAAAGGCCATTTGGTGGCTTATCCCTTGGTTCCTAAGCAGCAGATAGATATCCACAGTTCAAAGGCCAGAGGATTTTGTGTTTAATCCTGAAGGGAATAGGGAGCCACTGAAGTTTACTGAGCAGGGATGAGACTCTTGCTTTAGGAAAATCACTTTGGAGGCTTTGCAGAGGATGGACTGGAGTGGAGAAACTTAAGAGGGAAAGAATTAACATTCTTTAAGATAAACCAGTTCATCCCCAAGGCAGAAGAAAAGACAAATTTTTAAAAGATGGGGTTTAATCGGCTTTAATTTACACTAATTACCATTACTCTGGCTTCTGCATTTTAATTAATTTTTTTTCACAACTGCCTAACTCAGCAGTTTGTACACAAGTAGCACTCAATGTGTGTGACCGGTCTGTGCCCTTTTTTGTTGGGAGGGGAGGTGTATTTTGCAAGCCTAATACACTGAGGTGAATCATTTTCCCTAAAAGGGACATCTTTAAAGAGCATGGGGCTTGGAATTAGAAGACCTGGGTTAAAATCCCAGCTCTACCACTTCTATGTTTGACCTTGGGTAAGTCACGACAGCTCCTTGAGCCTTGGTGTACTTACAGGTAAAATGAGGGAAGGGAGCAGGTAGCCTGGGATGTCTCTTCCAGCTCTACATCTATGATCCTATGATTCCCCCATAACCGGGCCTTTCTCTAACTTTTCTATTACTGCCAAAGGCGCGGTCATCCTCTCAGCCATCGCATCTTCCAACCTTGGCATCACCCTCAACTCTTGACTCTCGCCCTATATGCCCAATCAGTCACCCGCTCTTCTTGTTTCTCTCTCCACAATGTCTCTCTGCTACATTCATCTCACATGGTCACTTTTCTTCATTCTTTCCCTCCTAAGTTTCTCCACTCCGATCCATCCTGTACAAAGCCTCCAAAGTGATTTTCCCAAAGCAAGAGTCTCATCCCCGCTCAATAAATTCCACTGGCTCCCTATTCCCTTCAGGAACAAAGTTCTCTGGCCTTCAACGCTCTTCACAATCTTGCCTCATCCTACCTTTTCAGTCTTCTCTAGCCATCCTGCCTGTTCCTCTCTCAGGACATTTGGCCTCTTGCTTTCATAACTTTTCACTGACTGTGCCCCACGTCTGGAATATTCTCCTTCATTCCTGACTCTCAGAATCCCTGGCTTCCTTCAAGACTCAGTGCAAACGCCACTTTTTGCAAGGGGCCTTTCCTAGACACCTCCCCTCCCTGCCAGCTGCTGGTACCTTCCCCTCTGTTACCTTTCATCTGTCTCTTTAATTAGAATGCAAGTCTTTGAGGACAGGAACTGTTTTTGACTTTCTTTTTATTCCCAGTGCTTACCACAGTGAGAGACACATAGAAAGCATGTAGTAAATGCTTGTGGATTGATTTTATAATATAAAATATGATGTATAAATAAAATATAAAATCTAGTTTCTAAGATAAGAATATAATAAAAAGTGAAGATAAACAGGGTTTGTGATCATCTACAAACTTAAGAGCATTTGAGCTAGTTTTGAGCGGCTCTCAGTCTGTTGACTGTGATTCCTAAAGTTGTTCTGAGGGTCAGAAAGTACTCCTTTCTGTTACTTAGCACAGGCGCTTATGTTGGGGGTCGGGGAGAATATGCTAACCGGAATAGGGTCGCGATCGGGCAGAGCTAAATCTAATCCCCTGACATAGAAGTTGCCGCTGTGTCTACCTGGGCGTGGCCTGCCTCGGTGGGGTAAAAATCCATCTCTTGGTTTTCTTACCTGAGTAATTTAAAGCTGACTGGTCCAATGGAGTGACAGAGACTGGGCCTCTGGAAACCTGGGCAAAGGGGGTGCTGTCATGCAGTTGTGCTTGCTCTGGGCCGCTGGACTCAGACATTCTGGTCTTGCTGCCAATATCAGAAGTGGACCTGGGTGGAGGCCAACAGGACGTTAATTAGGGTTTCCAAGGGAACGGCTGTCAGCGAGTCCCCATGGAGCTCAGCCAGAGGATGGCAGCCTAAGCACAGGGAAAGGCCGGTTGAGGGCTGACTACAGTGGGGTGGGAGGGAGGTGGTATTCGGGTTCAAAGGAATCCCGGCAGAATCACGCTCCTCGGCTTCCTGGCTACTCTCCCTGATGGGACTGGGTTACACTTTTGTGAACCCCTTGTCCCCTGAGCTCCCAAGCAGGTCACAATGGCTGAATTTACAAAATAAAATAAGAGACCTTGTGTTTTCAAACAGGGCCATGGAGGTATAACCTTACAGCAAAATCCTTAGAATTAGTCTGAGGCCCAAGACTGGGTGATTTCGAGATATTCAAGTTCAATTCTCCCCTAAGGGTGACTCAGGTGTTTTGCTAGTTACCACAAAATTCAATTTTCACATAAAAAAATGCAGAAAGCAATTAGTGCCCTGTATTAACTGGGGATGCTTGACATAGGTGCCGATGACATCATTGGCAGCCAATGAGCACACTCCATTGGGAAAGAGTGTTCTAACCCTCCCTCCTCCCTCCTCCCCGCTGGTCCCCCGCACATACACCTTTTACAATAGAACAGAGTGATGCTTGGAAGACAAGAGCCTGAGCTGGGATTAGCCAGGACCTCACATTGCACCCTGGAGCATCAGACTGAGATGCAGGCGGCTCCCAGCACCTGTGAAGTAAGATAATGGCCCCGAAGCCCTGGCTAGGGAGGCAGGCCTGCCAAGGCTGCTGCGGTGCATTATGACTGATGCTGAGAAATGAGGAGATGCAGCCTGGTGTAGTACTGTGCACTGTCGACTCTGGGATGGATGCTTTTAGAGGCAGCCGCAGAGCCGGTGGTGGCACTCACATTTCCCAATCCATTTAACATGTCATCCTTTCACTTAGTGCTCACAAAGCCCGACTGCTCCAGGAGGAGGCTGCTGGTGGAGGGCAGTGGGATGTGGGGAGGGGGCTATGGTGCTCCCCACCCCCGCCTCACTGGTATATTCTTCCACAGCTTCTCAGTGACTGTCCCTGGCTTGATCCCCACTTGGCACCCACTGCTTTTTATGTCAGCTAGTCCTCAAATTAATGTTGCCTTACAAATCAAGGCATGAAGGACTTAAAGTTGGCGATAGAACCCTGTACCCCCTACATCCAAGACCATGCAGTTTTGCTTTTTGACCTCAGTGGAAGAATCAGTTATCTAAGAATGAAGAAGGGACTGGGAAGGAGGGACAGATACCAAACCCGTGTCCTAGACATGGCAAGACAGAAAAGGAGAACATTGGAGAAACACCCGTGGAAGCCCCTGAGTGGCCATGTACAAAGATGCTGCCCATAACCTCCAAGATCAAATCAAGACTCTTCTGTTTGATTTTTAAAGACCATCCCAACTTGGGCCCCTTCCTCCCTTTCTTACACTTTTCTCCCCTTCATGAGCTCAGCAATCTGTCTACACAGGGCTACCTGCTGTTCCTTGTACGACACTGTGCCTTTGTACTGGTCACCCCCCAAGCCTGTAGTTATCTCCCTCCTCCCTTCTGCCTATTGTGCATTCATATGACATATCCAGTATATGGAAGGCAAACTCCAAGGGACGACACCAGTAAAATGGAAGACTGGGAAAGGTCTATTGCACAAGGAAGGTTTTGAGCTGAATCTTGAAGGTAGCCACGGATGACTCAGATTGTACCTTCTATAACAGATCTTTTCCAGTTCTCCTCCTTACTAGTATTTTCCCCTCTAAGATTACCTCCCATTTACAATGAGTATGTCAAGTGTGTGTGTGTGTGTGTGTGTGTGTGTGTGTGTGTTTCTCCCTTATTAGAATGTGAACTCAAGGAGCTGACACTAATGACAGGGACCTTATTTTTGCCCCCTTTTTTTTTTTTAGGCAATTGGGGTTAAGTGACTTGCCCAGGGTCACATAGCTAGTAAGCGTCAGGTGTTTGGTCTGAGGCCAGATTTGAACTCAGGTCCTTCCAACTTCAGGGCCAGTGCTCTATTCACTGCACCCCCTAGCTGCCCCCTTGCCTTTCTTTTTATCTCTGTGGCTTAACATAGGGCTTGGCTTAATAAATAATAAATAATATTATATATTATGATTATGTAATCATAAAACTACATCATAATAATAATAATAATAATAAATAAGGGCTTAATGAATACTTCTTGATTGACTGATGGGAGGGATGCCCAAACCCAAACTTTCTCCAGAAATAGTCCAGGAATGCAGCCACTTCGGGAAAATCCAGATTCTCCATTTTCCCATTCAATTTGGTTGAAAGGTAGAATTCATTCTTAGTGCAGACTTCCTTACTGTGGCTGCCTCAGACGACATCTGTTTGGCTATGAGCCTCTGGTCCTCTGTCTTCCCTGACCCCTGCTCTCTGCAGACACTGCAACATTATAACTGTCGGCTCATAAAGCCTTTTGGAATTAGCTTTCCAAGTTCACAGCAACAAAATCAAAATTCTGGAGCTGGGGGGCCTCAAGAGCTCCTTAGACTAACCTGCATGTGCACAAGAATTCCCTCTACCCCACACTTAACAAATGGTCATCCAGGCTTTAAGAGAAGCCCTTCACTGAGGGGGGGAACATGGTATTTCCCGAGGCAGCCTGCTCAATTGTTAGGAAGCTTTTCCTGACTGAGAGCTGAAATCTGCCTCTTTGCACCTTGCATCCATTGTCCCTCCTTCTGCCCTCTGGCTCTAGAGAACTGGTCTAATCCACTTTCCACACGTGAGTCCAGCAATTGAAGATGCTTTTCTTCTAACTCCCTTCTTCTCCAGGCTGAACATTCCCTGCTCCTTCAATTGCTCCTAACAGGGCAGGAACTCAAAGCTCTTCACCATCCTGGCAGCTTTCCTCTGGATACTCTGTAATTGATCAACGTCCTTTACCAGAATAATGTACCCAGAATTGGATTAAGGAGAGGGAATCCTTTTAGCATCAGAGAATCTCACAAACATCTCAGGGTGGGGAGGCAGCATGTGAAACAGGAAGAAGGCTAGGTCTGGAGGGAGAAAAATTGGGTTTGAAACCGAGCTCTGCTATTGTTTCCTGTATGACCTGAAAATAGTCATTTAACGTCTCTGGGCCTCAGTTTCCTCAACTGACAAATATTAGATTGTCTCAAAATCTAGCTCTAAACCTCAAGTCTATGAAATCCTCTAGTCCAATATCCTAATTTGGCAGAATCAGGCCCTTCTGTTGCTACTCTGCTCTGAGGAGGCTAGAGACACTGAGGCCCAGAGAAGGGGAGGGACTTCAAAGTGATACAGTGAGAGTCAGGACTAAAACCCAAGGCTCTTGATTTTTAATTCAATTCAATAATTGTTTATTATGCCAGGTACTATGTTAAAAGCTCTGGGGATACAAATTAGAAAAATACCGTGCTTGCCCTCAAAAGCTGACAATCTAATCAAGGGAAACACACAAAAGGAAGCTGAAGTGTGTGTGTGTGTGTATGTGTGTGTGTGTGTGTGTGTGTGTGTGTGTGTGTGTGTGTGTGTGTGTGTGTAAACTGGGAGTACCCAGCACAGGATCATGATATTCCATGGATTTGAAACCAAGCTGAGCTGCTTATGGGAAACAGAGTCACTTGGAAAGTTCCAAAAGTACTGAGCTCTCTATAAAGGAAGGCTTGATTACTCTGGGGTTGGGATTCAGGGTCCTCCCCACCCAGCCTCCATGAATATATTCCACTGAAACCAGTCAGTATGCTTTTGTGGATGGTGTCACATTTTCATCTTGGGGGAAACAAAGGCAAGGCCCTTTCCAAGGAGGATGTACGTCACTTTCCCTCCGCCCCTCTCCTCCAACTTGTGTGATAAGACTGAGAATCTGGTACGTGCAGCACCCACCTCCTGCTCTATCTCCACCCCCCTTTTCTTTTTCTTTCTGTCTCTTTATCTTCCTTTTCATCTTTTTCTTGATTCTAGTGTTGTTTAAAAAAAAAAAAGAGAGAGACGTGAAATGTGTTCCATTCCCTTTGCTTTCCCTTCTGTCAGAACACACCGAGCCCTTTGGACACAGGGCATGTTTTGTGTTACCCAAGAGCCTTCTGGCAAAACCTATCAGGGAACTGGTTAGAGGCAACTCTTATTTCTTTGTTAGATGACTGGTCAAAGCATGTAGCACCTTACTGCTGCTGCCTGCATGAGCCCAGTGAATCTAGATTCTCCAAAAAAGAGCAAAATAAAAATAAATGTAGCAAATTACCGTCTGAGAGAAGCAACAGCGACAGGCCCAGTGCGGGGAGGTACCGGAGGCGGGGGAGACCCCATGACCATCTCAGGAAGCTGGGAAAACCTGTAGGCCTGAAAGAAACAAGTAAATGATGTTCACAAACCCCCCAACCCTCCAAACTATTAAAAAAACTGAAATCCACGGACCCAAAAAGTCCATATGCATATTACTATATTTACTCACCTCCTTTCAAATGACTCCAAATCCTGGCTCTTCCACTTACCACCTGTCTGACCTTAGGCAAGTCACTTGATCAGTCTCGGCCTCAGTTTCCTCACTTGCAAATTGGTAGAGGGACTCCAAGGTCTCTCCTAGCTATCAATCTATGATCTCATGATCCTGGCCTCAACCTCCCTTTCCAGCCTAATTATTACGTGCTCTTTGGTCTAGCCATACTGACTCTTGCTATTTCTCATGGGAAACATTCCATCTCCTTTATCGATGTCTTTGCATAGACTGTCTCTCATCCCTACTATGCACACCCTTCTCCCATCTGTCTCTTAAGAGTCCAGTTCAAGGGCCACCTTCTCTGATCCCCCAGCTGCTAGTACACCCTCCCCAGCAAAGTGACCATGAATCTATTTTTACAGATATTTTTATTTGTACATGTCACAGAATAGCTCTCTGAGGGCAGGGACTGTTTCATTCATGTCTTTGTATTCACAGGCCTTTTACTGACTCGGCACTTAATATATACTGGCTGATTAACTGCTTGTTGGCTGCTCTTAAATGGAAACACACTTGCCAGGGTCTGGATTTTGACAGCTACTCATTCTCACCGCCTACTCTGGCTGCAGAGTTTTTTCTCTCTTATCTGAGGTTTTTACAAATGGCAGAAGGGAGGGGGGAAGACAATCAAACACTAACATAACTAAAAAGTCAAATGAATGTTACATCTAGAGAGAAGGCCAGGAGATGTTGCTTGGGTAAACAGGCGGCTCAACCTCTGAAGCCAGTCCTGGGTTTCATTTGCCAACACAGCAGCCTGGAGCCTCCAAGGAGGCATTTTTACCCATGAAGGGGAAAAGGTTCCTTAGAATTCCTACAGCCTCCTCAGAGCACAGTAGCAGAAAAGGGCCTGAGCTGGGAGCAAACTGGTGTTTTATGCTCAGTTTCTTCCTGGGCTTTCTGACTTTCAGGAAATGTTTCCTTTATTCTGTCCAGGAGGGGAAGGGCCAGGGAGTATGAGTACAAAAGGGAGATATATGACAGGAAGAGAAAATGGGTTGATCATAGGGTGTGGGCAAAGGATTATGGATCTGAGTGTGTCACTGGTACCTTCATGGTGTCAGAAGAAAAAAAGGCATGTTAGGTAGACCCTATTTTTATTAACTCCTTGGAGGACACACAGGATGGGCATATGTTTGGGCTGTGATCTATATCAACAGAGCAGAGCATATGTCCAAACTGATGACATCACAGAAGAAAAATTCCTGAAGATGACAGTTATCTAAAAGTCGAATGAAGGACTCAGGAGATGGTGGGCTTTACGTTACTGGAGGTTTCCAAGCTGGGTGACCAAGGATGTTATTAGCGCAGGACCTTATAACATGAGGCACTATATCCAGGTGTTTCCAGCTGTGTGTCACCTTATTCCCCTGCCATCTTCTTGCCAGCCACTTTGCCACCAACAGGACTATATGGGGTAGAGTCTTCTTCCATGACTGGGAGATACCCTTCCCTGGTGTCAGAGGGAGATTTGAATTAACCATATCAATCAATCGATAAACATTTATTAAGCACCTACTGTGTGCCAGGCACTTTGCTAAGCCTGGGGATATAAAAAGAGGCAAAAGACAGTCCTTTCCCTCAAGGAGCTTACAGTCTAATGGAGGAGATAACATGCAAACAAATACATACAACACAAGCTGGATACAGGATAAAAAGGAAATAGTTAACAGAGGGAAGGCACTAGATTTAAGAGGGGTCAATTGATCTGGAGAAGGAAATGGCAAACCACTCTGGTATCTTTGCCAAGAAAACCCCAAACTGGGTCGTAAAGAGTTGGACAAAACTGAAATGCCTAAGTAACAAATAGCAACAAAGGAAAGGCTTCTTATAGAAGATAGAATTTTAGTTGGCACTAAATCCGAAACGGAAGACAGACGGAGATCAACAGGATTCCTGCTCCCTGGATAAGGTCAGAGGTCAGCTGACAGATCTCCGCCTTAGTCCAGTACTGAGTCATTAGAATAATAACGATAGCTAGCATTTATATAGCACTTCAAAGTTTGCAAAACACTTCATAAATACTATCTCATTTGATCCTCACAGCAGCCTTACGAGGTAGGTGCAATTATTGCTCCCATTTTAAAGATGAGGAAACTGAGGCAAAGAGAGGTTAAGTGACTTTCCCAGGGTCATACAACTAGTAAGGCATCTGAGGCTGGATTTGAACTCAGGTCTTCCAGACTCCAGGTGTCACCTAGCTGCCTCTAGAACTCTGTCTCTTTCCAGACTCACAAACTGTATGCCTTCTCCCTTGAAGTGGTGAAGACTTCATCCAATGTGTCAGAGGAAGCATTCCCCCATCAGAGGTGTTGCTTAAGAGTAACATCACAAGAGGGGCCCCAGGCATCAACAAATTGATGTGAGAGGAGAAGTCCCTGTAGGAGTCCTGACTAACTCCTATTGCAAGCAACAAAGTATCTCAGGGGTCTCTTTTTAGGGTCTGTTGTGTTTTCTTCAATCTTACAGTAAAACCTTGCTTCTTTAATTTTGGCAATTGTGTAGTTACATTGAGGGGGCTGCTTTAAAAGAGGTGACAATAAATGGAGTCTTGGCAACTGTCTCAAGATCACAGGGCTACTAAGAGGGAGAAAGTGGACTCTGGAGGCCATCTCCTGATTCCACATTCAGGGCTCTTTTCCTAAGAGTCCACTAGGCTGTGGTGGCTTCTTATATGCAGCACATGAAATGGTCTTGCTTCAGTTTGACATTTAAAGCCTTTCAGAACTTGACCCTCCACCTACTGATCTAATCTTCTTCGATTAGAGGACGTTCCATCTCCTGACTTAGCCCTTGCATTGGTTATCCCTTATACCCAGAATGCTTTCCCTCCTTGTCTACACCTTGCTTCCCTGATTTCCTTCAAGACTCAGATGTTCATTCATTCATTCATGAAAGTTTATTGAAACCCCCTCAGCAAGTCCCTGGCTAAGGACAGGAGTGGATAAGGCAATAAAGAAAACACCTGATTCAAGCATTCATAATTGAAGAAAACAATATTCATTAGGAAGCTTTGCCTGGTTTCTCCCAGGTGCTGGCGCCTTCCTCTCTAAGATTATTTTCCCTTTAATTAACACTGTGTATAGATCTTGTATGTACATAGTTATTTGCATATTATCTCCCTTATTAGAATTGAGTTCCTTGAGGGTGAGGACTATGTTTTTGTCTTTCTTCGTATTCCCAGTCCTTTACACTGTGCCTGGCACATTTCTAAATGCTTGCTGGCTGACCAATTTCCTCAGATTTTCTAAAACTACTAAACATCTACCAATCACATGGCTATGAGTGTGATGAGTATAAAATCTCTTTGCCAATTGGAAATACTTCATTTTCTTCAATTATGAATGCTTGAGGTCAAGTGTTTTCTTTATCTCCTTATCCCCTCCTATGCTTAGCCAGGGGTTGGGGGCGGGGAGGAGAAGAGGGTTCAATAAAACTTTGCTGAATGAATGAACAGAAAATCCCCTTCCCCAACTTCATCAAGAGGAGTTTGCTATTCCTCTCTTAGGATTATAGGATCACAGATTTAGAGATGGAAAGGACCTTACAGGCCATCCAGTCCATCTTCTTCCTTTTACAGATGAGGGAAACTGAAGCTCAGAGAGCATAAATGACTTATTCAATGTCACATGGGTAGCTAATAGCAGGGGAAGGATTTGAATTAAAGCTTCTGAAGCCAGCACAATATCCACTTCATTTTCTTTCCTGGGCCAAAGGAAGCAAACAACCATCGCGTCTAAGAATATCTGTACTAGATGTAATAACCCATATGAGACAAGCAGCAGCTGACGGTTCTGTGTGCTATCAGGATTCACTAGAGGTGATACAGAACCCGACCTCCTCACTTGTGCCTAGGGAGCTCTGTGCTCAGAGCAGCTTTTCTGGGCACACAGTGAGGGCCCTGAGATTAGAAGGCCAAATTTTCTTCATGCTTAAACCCAACCCTACAGCCAAACTCTTGACATAGATATTTGAGGGGAGAGGGGTATGGGGCTAAGCAGGAGTAGATGAGGGCAAACCTGTGTGCATGACAGAGGAGAGGAAAATCTGACCGACGTCAGCTCTCAGGTTTATTCCTGACCCTGAGTCTTGCTGGTAAGAACAAGGCTGTTTGAGGTGGTATGGGAGGGGTCATTAGGCCAGGGGTAAGTCATACGGGGTGCCTTCTTCTACCCCACCAATATCCACATCACTAGCACAGTAATTCTGTTGCTGAGTTATTTTTCAGTCATGTCTGACTCTTTGTGACCCTAGTTGGGGCTTTCTTGGCAAAGATCCTGGACTGGTTTGTCATTTCCTTTTCACTTTATTGATGAAGAACTGAGGCAAACAGGATTAAGTGACTTGCCCAGGGTCACAGAACCAATAAATGTCTGAGGCCAGATCGGAACTCAAAAAATTGAGTCCTTCTGATTTCAGACCCTGCAGTGTATCTGCTGTACCACCCATCTGCCCTATTGTACGGCAATAGGTGCTTAATAAATGCTCGATGACCGATTATACAGTACTCAGGTTGAAATCAGGTTGAAATAAATATCAAGGGCAATCTTGAAGGCGGGATAGAAAAAGTACACACACACACACACACACCCCCTATATCAAAGTGTAGCCTAAAGGGTGTGCATGTAGAAAAGAGGGAAGGCTTTGAAATAAAAGAGGGGGAGAAGGAAGAGGGAAGCAACACACATATAGGTCTGATTTCTCTCCCTTAGAATCCATTATTTCTTCTAAAGCTCAGCTCATGTCCCCTCCTATAGGAAGTTTATCCCACTCCCTCCAGCTGCTAGGGATGGCCTCCTCCAATATATATCTATTTTATATTTATTTATACATGTTCCCAGATTGAATGTATGCTCCTTGAGGGCAGGATTTTTTTTCTTAGGGAAGGGGAAGGGGATGGAATCTGTGCAATTCCAGTGCTTATCACAGTACCTGGCACATGCGCACACACACACACACACATATATGTATGTCTATGTATGTGTATGTATATTCTCTCTCCCATGAGAATGTGACCTCACTGAGGGCAGGACTGTTTTTGCCTTTCCTTGTATCCCCAGGGCTTAGCACAATGCCTGACAGTACCCACTTAATAAGTACTTATTGATTGATTGGCTCTTAAATACTCTTGGTTGACAAATGAAGAGGTCTTGTCTCCAGCCGGAGCCATTTCCTTGCTCCAGTATTATAAATGAGCCCGATGACTTTCCAAATATCTTTCCGCCTTTTTGGCAAAGACATATTACACTGTAAAAGAACTCTGACTGGTCATTAGGTGCCTAGTACAATTCTTTTTTTTTCACAGACTGCACCTGTAAAGCATGATCAAAAGTCTCCCAGACTGCAGCACAGAAATTTTCAAATTGCCAGGAGTAACCTTTATCATGATTTAAATGGCATTGGCCCTGACAGCAGCATTTAAAACCACTGGCTTTCAATTATCCTGGGGGGAAGGCTCTGATCTCGACCTTGTGATGGCTGCCTTTCCCTCTCTGGCGACAATGAAAGGTAATCATAGCCGTGGTTTCAAATGGCCACCATTTATATTGATTTCTCCCATCATAATAGGACAGGTTACATTGTGATAGCTGGTGTTCAGAATCATCATTTCCACTGTGAATTGCTAAGCACTTTCTCCTTTCATAAAATTTGTACAGAAGGTGTTGTTGGCAAGAAAAAAATCCTGATAACAAAGGCCTTGTTTTTAATTTCATTCTTCTGATCTCTCAGATACCCTATGGCTCAGTAATTACCCATTTTAGGTGGCCTTTTTTAATGAGATATAATGCTGAGATGCCTTCTCTTATTATCCTCCCCATTCTACTACCACATCATTATTTCATAACATTTTTGTTTTCACGTGGTCCAGGATGGTTTTGAAGGGAAAACATTTTTTTTTTCCATTGGACTATGATGTGATTTTCAGTGAGCTGTGATTTCTCTTTGATCACTGCCTGGGTCTTTTATCCTTGTCTCCTAAGCTTTTCTCTCTGATGTCTGAAGGTCTCCTTTGGTCCCTTAAATCAGAACATTTCAAGTCAATCCAATGAGTCATCTTGGAATTGGAGGATATCTCTGTGTATCTGAGTTTCTGACTCCACATCCAGGGCATTATATTGATGGGAAGGAATGGAAAAGAGAAAAAAAATGAGGCCACGAATTCATTTGAAGGGAAGGGGATATAACTTGAGAACTGAGTGAGGAGGAAATATTTGGTGGGTTACGCTCAAATGAGGAGGTCAGAAAAGAGAATGACATTCACAGAGGAAGATGGGACGTGGAGAAGCATTTGTCAAGTGCCTGCAGCCTGCAGGGCACTAGAGTGGAACTCCTGATGAAGACAGAGTGTCTGAGAGGGGTTTAAAGAGACTCCAGGGGACAAGATGAAAGGAGCACTGTAGGCATGGGATACTGCAGAGACTGAAGGAAAAGAGCTGTGAGATATGAGAAGAGAAAGAGAAACTGAATGTCTCACGCACTAGGGTATGATACATTTTCCAAGGCTTGGAAAATGAAAAACCAAAGGACATGCTTTTGTGAAAAGAAAATGGGTTTAAAAAAATTACTTCTCGTACATGACGGCACCTTATGCACATACCACCCAACATAAAGCTTAAGGCAAATAATTATAGTACTTTATACTTTAGTACAGTGGAAAGATCATTAAAATTAGAGTCATAGGAGCTGAGTTCAAATCCTGGCTTTGATACGTTCTACCCGTGTGACTTCGGGATTCATTTTTTCTCACTGGTGAAAATGAGGGGGTTGACTAGGTGGTTTTTAAGGTTCCTTCTTTCTGGAGATCTCTGAGCTTCTGATCTGTAATTTCATCTGTACTGGAACCCAGGTCTTGTGACTCTGATCCAGATCTCTTTCCACTGCATCGCACTTCTTCCTTGCTTATCATCACACAGCTAGTATGGTTATGCCTTCCAATGATGAAGGTCATGACCCCTCTAGACTTTGGCAGATGGATCCATGAGTTTGCTGTGGGCACCAAAATTCATTGCTATTTGGCGAGGGGCCTCTCTACGCTTAACTAGGTGGTTCTTCAGACAATATATTGGCCGGTCCATACTAAAAGCATTTCTAAGTTTGAAGGACCTATCAGAACTCACACTCCATTGGTATAATCTTCAGAATCCTGGAGTCACTTCCTTGCTGTGGTAAGATGAAGCAATAGGACTTTCCCCCCACCTTGGTTTCAACCTTTGATTTCATCAAAGTAGAACTCCCCACATGGAAACTCCCTTCTTCAGTGCAGATTGGGAACTCATTGGTAATTTGTAGTCTTGGACAGTTGCCCAGCAGCACTGAGAAATTCCATCCCTTAGAATCATAAGAGGCCTCAGAAGCCACGGAGTCCAGCCCCCTCGTTTTACAGATGAGGAAACTTAGGGAAATGCAATGACTTGTCTAAGGTCATACAATAAGCCTCAGAGGTGGAATTTGAACCATAGAATCATAGGTCTGGAGCTGGAAGGGATCTCAGAGGCTGTCTAAGATGACCCCTTGTTTTATAGATAAGGAAATTGGGGCCCAGGGAGATTCAGTGACTTGTCAAAAGTCACACAGCTATTAGAAGCAGAATTTGAACCCAAGTCTTCTGACTCCTTTCATTATACCACACTGCCTGTCCTTTGTTCATAGTTACACAGCTAGTCTATATCAGGGGAAGGATTTGGAGCCAAAGCTAGTCTAGTATCCATCCTATCCACAACGTCATACCATGTCTCCTCTTAGCAGTGTGACATTAGTCAAGGTACATTGGTAATAATAATGTAAGGGAATTGATCTCTGATTAACCTCCTAACCCCTTATGACAGGTTACATCTGTGTGGAGCTTAACGTTGGTCAGATACTTTATGTGCATTGTTTAACCCGATTCCCAAAGTCACCTTGTGAATTAGGTGGTATAACTATCATTATCCTCATTTAAAATATGTGGCAGTTGAATTTCAGGGAAGCTTAGCAACTTGCTCAAGGTCACATAGCCAGAAAGCAGCAGATCTTAGGACTAGAACCAGGGCTCTTAGGAATTCCACATCCAGGGCTCTTTCCAGTACACTACAACATGGTGGCCACAGGGCCATTAAGGCAGTGCTTTTCAAGAACGAAACTGGTGTTCCCCCTAAGACAGGAGTCTCTCTGATATAAGATGACCGGTAACACATGAAATGGTAACTTACCGGCCTTGGCAAACTGTACTGATACATTTCTGGTCTATAGGTAGGCACCCACTGCATTCCACCCCTTGAGCGGGTCATGGTCCCAGGGGCGCTCGTTACCACTTCGGAGTAAGGGAAGTGCTGGGCTGAGCCATAAGCGTCTTGTTGCCTGTTCTGACCACTGTGGCCTGCGGAGGCCAAGCTGAATGCTTCTTCCAGCAGCATGTGCATCTGCTGCCTGACTTCATCAATGGATGGCTGAGAGCTGAGGGTGGACGTCTCTGAATGACCTTTCACCTGGCGTGACCTTGGGTAGCCTCGAGGCTCATTAACTCGGTCAATGTTAGTTTCTTCTATGATTTCAGGTTCAGTCTGTGGGATAAAGCACAAGTCAGTTCTCAAGAAATTGTACACTATTTAGGAAATAATGGATGGCTGATTTTTAGTATGATTCAATAATAACAATAGCTGTCACTTATATAGTGCTTTAAGGTTTGCAAAATACTTTAAAACTATTATCTCATTTGCTTCTTACAAAACCCTGTGTAGTTATTGCTATTATTACCTCCATTTTACAGATGAGGAAACTGAGGCAGACAGAGGTTAAATGACTTTCCCAGGGTTACACAGCAGATAAAGAATAATAACGATAAATTAATAGATATCAAGGGACTGAAAATCTATGTTTACTGTCATCATCATTCACAAATTTTTGGCAATAGTAACAGTTTAATATGTTGCATTTTATACATATTATCTTCTTTGATCAATAATGTTTTATTAGATTCATCAACCTATCATTCATCAAATGAGATGGATTACTTAGCAAATGAATTAATAATTGTAAAGTACTTAGCACAATGCCTGGCACATAGTAAAAGCTTTAAAAATGCTTGCCCCTTCTCCTTTCCTTCCCTTTTATTATCCCTATCTTGAGGCTCCTTTAGAGAGACTAACTCACATACTTAGTAAATGACAGCTGGGAATCATACCCCGATCTTCCAACTTTTAAGTAGAACCCAGTAATTTGCAGTACCTGGCACACAGTAGGTACTCAATAAATGTTTGCTGTAGTTTGCCACTTAGCAGAGTGATACCATTCTGCTAGGTGCTGCCTATGCTGACAGTAGGTCCATTGTCCCCTAAACCACAATTAAGAATTTCAGGATTACAGCTATCTGTCATTTCCCAAAATCCTTGGCTCATGAATGGCTCAGCCTATATGAAATGCAGACAGTCTCTTGCCTTGTCCTTGATAACAAATAGCTAAGGACACTTGTCTTTTGGAGAGATTTCTGAACATTAATTAGTTGATATATACTAAGTACTGGTCATGCATTAAGTGTGGTTTTTGAATCTATTTTCCTGTGGGCTTCTATGAGACAGCATCTCTCTGTTTTATAGAATGTTCAGTTGGAAGGCACCTTAGATACTGTCTAGTGTTAACCCCTTCAATCTCTTTTTTTAAAATGAAGCTTTATTTTTTGCCTTTAAAAAAAATTCTACCACATCCCAATAACTCACCCGCTATGCACATAAACCCTTCCTTTGTAATAATGGAACACAGGTAAGAAAAACAAGACAACCCAATGGCTATGTCTAACAGTGGATGCCTTGGTCTACACCTACAGATCACCATCTCTCTATGGAGAGGAGACTGGTTAATTTCACAATGCCCTCCATTTCAAAGAGAAAAATGAGAAGGAGAAAAAAGGGATTTGATGAAGATCCCACCAATAGTTAATGGCAGAGCTGGAACTAGAAACCAGCTTTTGTCCGACACTGAAACTCCCTTTGCCAAGTTCACCTATTCATTTCTCTTAGTTCTTCTCTCTCCACTCTTCTGTTTGGTTGTATTGAGAAATCTCTGAAAGACCGAGTTTCCCCTGGAAATAATTCATACTAGGTCTTTCCTGATCCCCAGTTGTTTGTCCTTTGCAAATCATCTTGCTCTTATTTCCAGCTTCCCTGGTGTATCCCCCACTGCCACCTCCCCAGCCCTGCCCTCCCCCAGTAGAATGTAAATTCTCTGAGGATAAGAACTGTTATCTTTATATCTCTGGTGCTTAGCACAGTGCCTGGCACATAGAAAGCACACAATAGTATCATTCCATTGTTTCAGTCACGTCCAAATCTTCTTGACCCCATTTGGGGTTTTCTTGACAGAGATACTGGAGTGGTTCACCATTTCCTTCTCCAGCTCATTTTATAGATGAGAAAACTGAGGTAAAAGAGTGAAGTGACTATCCCAGGGTCACACAGTTAGTATAGTGTCTGAGGCCAGATTTGAAATCAGGATGATAAGCCTTCCTGATGCCAGGCCTAATGCTCTATCCACTGTGCCACCTAGTTGCCCAACTGCAAATGGGTAGACACTGAACAGCCTGAGGGACGGATGAGCAGGAACATGGATACCAAAATCATGCAGAAGGGATGCGTTTGGGGGTGTTGCAAACTTGGTCTGCTTTACCATTTGGCCAAAGGTCATCCCTGGATGTAGGCATCATTCCTATTTTACAGATGGGGAAACTAAAGTACTAAGTTAGATGACTTGACAGGTCATAGAATTAATCACAGATGGAAGATTAGCCCACAGATTGTCACTTTCAATTCAAACATCTATTAGCATTAGAAGATATTTCTTTTAAATCAGTGAAAACTTACTTCATAAGTAATTTTTTAATATGATTCACTGTTGCCAATTTAGCTATATATTTTCCTAACAGTTTGGTGATAAAAAACTTTCAAACAATAAATAAAGCTATTTGTTAATAATATGTTTTAAAATAGATACACCTATTTAAAAAAAAAAGATTTTCTTAACATGTCAGGGTCCTACAGTCACTGACGAAGACACACCTGAGAGAAAAAGGAAGCTCTCATAAGGTGCTGCTGACCACATAGCTGTCACTGTCTTTGTAAGACAGAGTCATCATTTCCTGGCACTTCAGGGTTTTCTGTGTCTAAGATCTTCAGCAGCTTTGAGCACAGCCCAATCCACAAGATCTTCTCTAGGGACACACACACCTCGGGAACACCAACATAGAAGCCATATTGCTCACACAATGAAGTCTCATCTGGCTATCTTAGTTTTCTTTCAGCTCCACAATCACAGTTGTAAGGGTTAATTTAAGGAATACCATCTCAGAGGCTTGGGCTCTCCTCCTTTACTATACAGTCTCTGGGCAGCTTCATAATGTAGAAGAGCCTGGTACCCTTGTTAGAGATGCTGGCAACAGCTGCTACCTTCCTATACCCATAGTTCAACTCTCCTGTCTCCCTGAGTACAGCAACAAAATGAGGTCCTGGGCTTTATAAATACGAGAATTACAAAACATATTAATTCTACACATTCATATTCATGGTATTGAATTAGCTCATTTATATTTTATGAGAATGAGGAAATGAAAAGTAATACATTTTAAAATGGAAATATTCACTTAATTAGAAATACTTCCTTTATGTAATGGGTTGACATCAGACTCATAACATACAGCAGTTTTTACATCCTTTTCAAATCTCAGTTATAGAATCAGAAGTTTTCATAGCCACAGAGAACCTTAGAGATCCTTTAGGTCAGTTCTTATCTGAAGAGGAAGCTCATCTCTTGGATTAATTGGAATTCAACTAACTGGGATCCCCAGCCAACCAGAACTTTGCTTCCACTTTTTGGAAAATCATAAGAAAACAAGCTTATGTTAAGGATTCATTTTTCTCCCTTAAAAAAAACCCCAAAAAATATAACTTTCAGGGTGAGTCTAAGGCTAAATCCATGGCCAGACCAATCCTGAGTAATGAGAAGTTGTACCTACAACAATTATTCATGGTTACTACGAGTCCCAATCATCTACCATGAAGATTTAGCTAGGTTCATTACATTCTCTTTATGTTCCTGACGTGGAACACTCCATTACCAGTTTCCAGGCTGGAATGCACTCCCTCCTCCAAGCTCATCTTGTTCACATCTGCCATTTTATAAGTATTGACAGTAGCTCAGAGACAACAGTATATCACTGTAGATAGGGAGCCACCCTGAGAGTCAGGAAGCCCTGGTGCCAGGTGGCACCTCTGACACATCCTAGCTGTGTCTTAGCCTATAAGTTGGCATTAATTGGCATTGGCGAAGGGAATTCTTTATACTGAGGAAATTATAGTCCTGGTCCACAGCAAAATAAAAAAATAAAAGCTCACATTTATAGGGTGATGTGAGGGTTACGAGGTACTTTATACACATTAGTTTTGTTTGATCAGAAGAGAAAGCGCTGAGAGGGAAAGAGATTTACACAACATCCCACAGATAGTAGAGTCACAGAGATGGGATTCAAAGCTAGGCCTTCTGACTTTGAACTCTAGAGCTGTGTCCCTATACAGAACTGGCCTAATAGGACTATATGTGGTCACCAGTACAGCAAAATCTGGCAACTACTAGGAAGTCTGGCCTGCCTCCAAATCATTCTACTCTGCTGTAGATGCTTGAAATTTCTCTATTACTAACGAATTCCTTTGTTTTAAGCAATTCCTTCTCCCTGGTTTTCTTTTAAAATATAAATAGGGTTGAAAGGGATGACACATTTCTAGCCCCTTAGGGTGAATGTTTTTTTCTCAGATTGCTTTCGTCTTACCGAAAGTTCAAGGCATTGTTCACTGGCTTGGGAAGGGACAGATTAGCACTGAAAAGGGGGAAGGGGAGGGAGGAGCGAAGGGTACATCCTTCATTTGTTTCCCAGAGGCTGTATGCAGGACAGGGAAGGCATTTTCTAGTCACATTTATTAGGAACATGCTTGTGGAAATTCAATCATTTTTATTCAGTCTTAGGACTGACTAATGGCTTCAATAAAGTCAGAGTATCTGATTTAAAACAATTGATTAGCCTTGATGGGCATCATGTCAACAGGACTTCAATTTATTTAATTTCTAATTGATTTCCTCTCCTGGGGGCATTAATTAACATTCAATCATTAGCCATAAACTTAAAGAAAATCACAAGATTGTCAACTGTTTTAAGGTGTAACAGCTTGAAATGGTTGGGTCATTCAATCTGACCTCTATGGAAGTGTTGCGGTCTAGGGGTGCTAGAAACCCCAAAATCCAAGGGTACAGGGTGGGAGTCAACCTTGAAAGAATCTGACCACTCAAGTCTTCTCTCAGTCCAAGTAGTGAGTTCATTGTAACACCAGTAGAAGAGGGCCGATACCCTGCTTACTCATTGAGTTGTGGCAATGACCCTGGGTTCTCACAGGCTCTACCTGCTCAGTGTAAGCATGTACTGCTATGCTAAAAGAGCTTTAGGGATGAGCCATGTCACCAATGCCCAGGCAAGCTGGGTTTGGAGAAATTCATTACCAGTCTGGCTACAGGGTGGTTGCTATTT